ATTTGAATACAATTCTGTTTTAAAATAATTTACAAAAAAAAAAAAATATCATAAAATAAAATCATATCAAAATATGTATGTAAGTATATATGTAATATGGCCTTCTATATGTTTATATTGTATACTATATTAAATTTCTACAGACATCATCACTTTACTCACGTACATAATTTAATATTTTGTTTTTATTTTTGTTTTTCTTTTTTCAATACCTACATATTATTAATTATTATTCAATATAAAAGCATATGTGCATAATATTTGATTTTCTTATATTACACTACTTATAAATAAAACAAGTTCTTGACCTTCTATATTGTAGATATTATTTATCATAATATTTTATATATATGAAATGTATATATTATTATATGTATATATTATACATATATGAATGTATATATACGCAATTTCCATACACACGTATATACACTGTAAATCATTTCTTACAAAAATATAATAAAGAATTCATACCTACATACATAACATGATGATATTATATGAAATCAACAATTATACACACTATAGTGTTATACAGTCATATACGTATCGCTTTGCGATAATATTGTGATTTACATGATCAATATCGTTATAAATATATTATATTTTTTAATAATACATATATAATTTATGATAATTTTATTTAATAATATGAAATTAATTCAGTCAATTTAATTTACTCACAATACAAAATTAAATATACTAGAATTTGGTATACACTAGCTGCATTATAAAGTTATAATATACATATATTCAATCTAAAAGATATTGCAAGTTTAAAAAAGCTGCTTTAATAGTTGCAATAAATGAATTCAAAATTGATTTATTTTTTAAGAAAATGTATAAGTGGATTCTTTACATGTATTAGTCAACTGCATTAAGGAAAAAGAGTATCGAATATCCGAAATTAAAAACGTGCCAAAAATATTTTATGATGTGAAACTTAATTTATTTATTCAAATTATTGTTCAAAGTAAGAACTAAATTTAACTAAAAGCACAAAACTTTATAAATATAGCAGTTTTTAAAATCAAACTGTTATACTCTATTGTCTATATCATTCAAACTGTTATACTCTTTTGCCCATGTCGTTCCATTTGCAATTAACAATTAGAATACACATCCAATCAGATCCAATGGTACGATTCAATATTTTGAAAAGCATTTTTACATACATTTTTACGTACATAAATATGTATAACAGATTACTTTAAACAGTAAATTTATGATTAATTATTATAATTAAAATTTAAAAAATTTTTAAATCAAAAATTCAATAAATTTTCCAATCTTTAAATGTGATTAATAATCTGTTTAGGTGTGATTAGTAATAGTCTATGCGTATGTGATTAAGAAAATCAAAGCTATTATTTTATTCTTTGTCGCCATATAAATAGTTACATAGATTATAAAATAAACGTAAGATTGTACACAAAACATAATGCATATTCGTACATACATACATCTTACAATAATAATAAGAAATAAATAAGCGTAAAAACATAATATTACGATAGTCTTGCATTAATGTCTTGCGAAAGGTAAAAGAAAAAATTAATAAAAACAAAAAAAATGATTTAAAGAGCATTGGCCGAACTTAAAAAAAAAACCGAGTTAAAATTATTAGTGTTTTTTTATTAGTTTTAATATTATATGCACTTCTTATTCAACTATGTACATACATACATATGTATCCATAGATTTTCAGGCATGTGGATAAAGTAATTTTCATATACTGCTAAACCTACGCTTATTATTGCCTTCAAATATAAAACGTTTATAAATTATGTATAATATTTTATATATTGTGCAGTTTACATACATACATGCGCATGTATGTACATATGTACATATACCTATCTACTTAAAAAATAAAACTCATAATTCTGTTGTTTGTTCTATTTTCTTTAATGCGGTTCTATATACGTATATACTGCCATAATAGCAAATTTGTTCGCTCACATTTTAAATTCAAGTTTTTAAAATTTTATTTTAAAATGATCAATCACAATGACTCAGAATTTTAGAGCGAATATAAATACATATGTATATACATACGTGTGTACTGGAACCATTAAGTTGCATAAATAACATTAATATTGTATAAAAGTAAAGAATACTAGGACTCATAATCAAAGAATTCCAAATTAATCTTGAAATATTAAACAATATAAGACAACAGAATCAAAACTTTTTCATTTGTATACCGAAGCTTCATAAAATGAATGGTTTATGTTGAAAGTGATCTAAGTCAGTTTGAAGTAAAAAATATGAATTTACTGCTCATTGGCTTTATACGAGTCTAGTGTATTTATATAGTCTCCAATTATTAACATATTGCTTTGGAAATTGGAAAAAGTTTTGAAATTTTAAATGGACTTAGGTGACTTTCAATATAAACCTTCCAAATTAATATTATTGTGCTTACGTATATACATATGTATTTACATACCTACATGAAATTTGCAAATTTTTAAACACATACACATGTACACATTTAAAGAAAATTTAACATTAATTTCATAATTCATATGATTTTATTAAAGTCTTCATGAATTTCAATTAAATTTGAAAAATATGGCGCTTAAATTTTGAACAGACATGTGAACGTATATCTACAGTACACAAACACATTTATACATATATAATGTATGTATATAGGCAATGCATTTATTTGCATCTACATATTTTCATACACATTTTGTTGCACATACATAATTGCATACATATTGTATTGCAATGGAAAATATTATGAAAAACTAAGTGAAAAATGATAAAAAATTTAATAAAACTTGAATTTTATTATTATTAATATCGTATATGTACGAGTACCTATATTTCGAAAAAAAAGACAAGTTTTTACGGTTTCACTCATTTTTTTTAAATATGTACATTTGTATATTGTATGTACATATGTATGTGTGCATTTTAATTCTATATTCTCTTAAATATTATTGAAATCTAAAAATATTGAAAATATTTTTTAACTTACATTTCGTATATTCATACGTGTAAAAGTGTGCACATACTTATATACAAACAAATACACAAAATATACATGTAAAATAATATTAAAATTCGTAAAGTTCGAATTGAAAAAATTATGTAGTCATCGCTAATACATTTATTAATATTTTATATACTTATATTATGTAGTACATAAAATTTTTATGCACATACAAACATACATTAACTATTACATTAAATTGTACTTGCATAAAATTTTCACATCAAACAAATTTGTTAATATAGGCACATAATTTTTACATATACATACATATATGTATGTATGTGCGTTGTTGTGGAAATATATCGAAATTTATAAAAGTAGAAAGTAGGAAATTTACGAAGATCAATTATAAATTTAAATTAACAATTTTGTAAAATTATTTTTAATATGTAGACCAAAATGTTATTAAATTAATTTATTAATTTTAAATCATTGACTCGTTTATTGTACTCGTATAATTTGCGATTTGGATTCTTAATTAACTATACACGTGTTACGTGTTTTATTATGCAAATATCTGAAAATATCAATAATGATGACATGATTTCGTACATTAGTCTTAACATTAAACCCTAATAGTGCTAATCATAAGAAAAATTATAAACTACGCAGTTAAAATGCTACTCATAAGACTTAAAAAACCTGTGTGTATTTTTTTTTTTATTTTTATCTGGCTTTTTTTTTTTTTTGAAATCGTTAAGTTTAGTTCTTTTATTATTTTTCATTTTTTTTTTTTATTTATAATCTTTCGTATATGTTTTCTTTATATCAAGTTTTTTTTTTTGTTTTCATTCTTGTTATTATTTACATTGTTGTTCTTTTTCACAACATATGATTTTTAGTATAAAACATTTTAAGTTTTTAAATGAAAACACTTAGCTAGTATTTTAGAAATTAAATTGAATGGAAAACTTTCTTAAGTATAATGTTAATCCTGTCTGTCATTTTTTATAAAATTTTGAAATTATTACACATACATATATACATATTTGCATGCATACATCCGCATACATATGTATAAGTGAAAGTTAAATTAACTATGTAAATCAACGTAGTAAATTCATTACATAGTTACTTAAATGCTTGCTTACATTATGTACATACATATTGTGTTTGTTGTGCCTGAATTTGATTTTTCAGAAAGTCACTTTCAAACAAGACGATGAAACTCCGTGAGAGAAGTCTTTAAAAGTAGATTGTCTTAATAGGTACGACGTATCCAATGAAGCTTAAATGGACAATTTATTTGACAACAACATTACATTTCAAGGATCTGTCAATATATGACAGATGACATTTACGCAGTCATAAATGCATTTATAACTGTAACTTTAGTGGAATAAGTCCTTTTAGTAGAATTTATTCCTTTTTGAAATGGCCGAATAATATATTTAGAAAAAACATGCTTGTATGTGTGAAAGTTCAGTTCCTATTTATTAATTTTTCTAGAATTTTCTCCTTTAAATTTCACCCTTTTTACTTCTCTAACCACCATAATTATATTATAAAATAAAATTTAAAAAATTTTCAAATTTAAAAACAAAAGACCAAAAAAAATTTAACAATCATACCAATTACTTAAGCAATTTTTGAATATTCTAGACTTTTTTTTTATTATACCTTATCGCTTGCACGTTCCCCACAATGCGATACTACCTCCCCCCTACACTAAATATACAAAACAAACATTGTTATTTTTATTAAAATACAAAAAAAAATGAAATATAAAAAAAATAAATTCGCCGGTACTTTTGTTTTTTTTTTGTTTTCGATGGCTTTTATTTATATACAATTTCAGTTTTTCTTATTTATTTTTCATACATACTTTAGTATGTATATGTATATATTGAGTTGTTGAATAGTAAATAGGTACATATAAAAATAAAACGAAAAAAATGACAAAATAAAAACAAAAACAATAATGAAAATTTAAAAACTCGTTTTTGGTATAAAAGGCGAATTCATCACCAGAGAAATTTTAGTTCCTTTGAGTTTTCAAAGTAATTTACAACGTTTGAATTATTTATTTTTTTTTAAATCAAGTTATATTTTGTATATAAAATTAATCAAACTAGAAATTTGAAAATTTATTATATTTAAACAAAGAAAATTTTCAGTTAAGAGAAAAAATAAAAAAAAAAATATTTTATAAAACATTTAAAAAGCAGTGCATTTATACATTGTGGTATTATACAAAAAAAAAAAAGACAAATTATAACTGTTATACAATTTTCAAATTATTATAAATACATAAAATAGTAGAAAACCATGTCAGAAGCCCAATACGATAAATACGAGCATTATAATTTTGATCACGATAAGCATATTTTCTCTAGTCACAGCGGTAAACAACGTTCAAAAAAAGAAGCTAGCACACATACAAATCATTTTGATCCAAGCGGACATTCTAGGAAAATCTTAACAAAATTAATGAATACCGATTCAAATAATAAAACAAAGAAGTGATTTTAATTCAAAAAAAAAATAAATTTTTAAAATTTAAGTTAACAATATTATATAAAAAAAAAATAAAATTTAATAATATTATAAATAAATGAACTCTTAAATATATAAGAAACTTGGACTGAATTGAATTTAATAAAAAAAATCAAAAAAAAAAAAATGATATAATAAAAAAAAATAAAAAAAAAATTAAAAAAAAAATATTTAATCTTTAATTAAATGAACTTTTTTTTTTATAAAAATTTCAAAATTTTGAAAAAACGAGGTTACTACATTCTTCGTTTGAGTGTTTTTACACCAAAAAAAACAAGCTGGTAGGTAACCAAGTTTTGTGATAATTAATTTTTTTTATTTAAATTTAATTTCTTCGTCTTACATTTTTATTTTTTCTTCGTTTTATCTTAAATGAGAAGAACATAATATAATTTTCCTAAATAGAAAAAAAAAATTCAAAACCCTTGAACAAGATTATAAAGAAGAACTTTTTATAAATCTAAAATAAAAGTAAAAATAATCATAATTAAAACAGCGTATCTCCGTTTACAACATTTACAACATTTTCAACGTAATTATTCAAAATATAATAATTAAAAAATTTTTTTATAGTCAAGCAACTGGTCTGCCATCATTATAATTTTGAAAATATTATTATATATTAATATAGCAGCACTGCCATTTTCCAGATCTTTATAATATATACAGCTAAAACCAGCTAAATAACAATATACAGTTCTTTTTTTTTTAAACAGTAATTATTATCGTCCATTATTTTATATGTTCGTATAATTAAAACATTTTTGACAACAATTTTTTTGTATTAAACAATTGAAATAATTAATAATAGTAATAAAATTTGATACTATACAAATTATACAATACTAAAATAAAAATTACAATAGCTGCAAATACATACATACATAATAATAAAATTGGAATTTGGAAATATTTAAACAATCAAGAATAATGGGTCTATCAAGAAGTTCTAGTGATAGCAGTAGAATATCATCACCATTACCAATTATAATGCCATCAACATCAACTGATTCAGATGTTGTAGAAGTTGTTGAATCATCAATTATTAATAATAATAATGATGAAAAATCAACATTATGGTTAGTTAGATGGCTATTAAATCCATCATTTTATTCAAGTTCATTATATTGGAAAATTCCAAATAGAAATGGTGATACTTGTACAAGCTAAAATTAAATTATTTCTATGTAATTATATGTATAGGAGGAGAAATTGATGAAAAATAATATTATTTTAATTATTATTATTGTATTTACATTAAAAATTTAATTTTATTATATGTAATAATATTATTTTTATATTACAAATTATAATACTATCATAATAATTATTGTATTATTATATTATTAATATTCATACAATATGGATTTTGATATGAAAAAAAATTTCATTTATGTCATTATAACTTCGATATACGTATATAGATTTTCGTTTTGGAAAATGTAAAAAAAAAGCATTGTATTTATTTTATTTTGAATTTTTTTGAAAGAAATTTTTTTAATTATTTAAATGTCATAAACATTATGTACTATATTTTTTTTTTTTGTATAAAAGTTAACAAAACATACGTAATTAAAATGTACTACAATTTTTATAAGCCCATGCATAGTAGTAAAATAATTTGCCAATTTAATATTTTTATCCAATTTTAATGATCAATAACAAATGAATTTAAAATAACAAAATTTTGAAAGTAAATAAATTAAAAAGCTAAATATTTTTTTTTCATTACCTTAACAATAAACCATTGGGCTTAATTTTTTTTTTTTGTTTTTATATTGACGAATTGTATTTTTTAAATAATCAATAATAAAATCAACAACAATATTGTAAAAAAAAAAATTAAGAAAGAGAAACGTAAACCTTTCAAAGGTTTAAGAAAAAAAAAATTTTTTTTTTTTTTTGTTTTTAATTATTTTTATTAATTTATTTTCATTTTCAAGAGAAAGTAATTCATAAATAAATATATTGTAATAATTAATTATTGTAAAAATTAATTTTACTTTATAATATATTTGTATATTCTTTTTACATTTATTATTATATTACTAATTAATTACCTTTATCTTTATTTTGAAAACAAAAAAACAAATTTCAATTATTAAATTTTAATTTTAGTTTTTATAATAACTATTATAATAATTTGAAATAATTAAGAAAAATCGATTAATTGAAAAGAAAAATACAAACAAAAAATAATTTTTTTAAAGATTAAATAAAAAAATATTGTTTATAAAATATTGAAATTTTTAGTGGTTTTAATTAAATTGACCTTTCAGCTATATACCAATTTATTCTAAAGATTGCATACAGACTTAGTTAATGTAAATGTTAGAGACCTTAACCGATATTGGAGGAATTCGGACTGATTCAGATGAGTATCGGAAAAGAATAGAAATAAAAATATCACAACTGTGCTAAGTGATCTAAGTTTACACTTCGGGGATCCGCTTCAACCTAGCCTATTCTATATATGTATGTAGATTATTTTTAAATTTGATTTACTTGAAATATGCCAAAAAAATAAATATGTTCACCAAAAATCAAAGGAAAAATTGATATGCAATTCAATAATTAAAATTGTATCCCAAAATAAATGTCTAATTTGTATTTTGGTAAAAGGGACAAGTCGATACATATCGTTCCTAACAGGACAACATTAATTCGAAATATATGGATTTTTCTTTTATATTAAAATATTAATTCTGGAATATATGTATATGGTATTATACTCACATAGTTTTTAATTGGTTATTCATTTAATTATATAAAAACTTTTATTCTATTCTTTAATTTAATACCAAAATCAAATCCTGTATATACTTTTCATATTTACACGAGTACATGTTTGGATGTACTACTTGTCCATATATAAATAAAATAAAATATAAATTCATAAAGTGATAAGTCACTAAAAAATAAAATTCACATGATGTGACTGAAATCAATGTGGAAAAATAACGTAATTTGACATCAACAAACAGAATTATAAGGCGTCATGCAGTCTATACGTTTTTATATTTATGAATTCTTAAATATCAGATGTATATACGTTTATATATAAATTGCTGCAAATAAATAATTATAAATAGAACAGAAAAATGTCTGCACACACACACACAAATACGCACATTTCCCATAAATGCATTTATATTTATACATATGTATGAATTTTGGGGCCAATTCCTTTTAGATACCAACAAAATTATGTATGAGATACTCTGCGATCATCTGATATATTTCTACAGTCGCAAGTCATATATGTACTATAAAAAGAGTATGTACTCTATGAAAATAATAAGTGGGTGGTAAATAATCGTCACTAAATCACCATGGCGTTTTAAGAAGAAGACACTTAGGTAACTTAAATAAAAAATTTCAAAATACTGTCAAAAATATGTCAAACATTTTTGTAAAAAGTAATGAACGTATTAAATGTGTGCATATTTTTTTTAATTTTTAATTCAATTCGATTTAATTAATTAAAAAAATTCATTATAATAATTTTAGGTACTTTTTAAACAATTTTTTTTGATTTTAAAAAACTAAAAAATTTTATGATCTATAAAATTGTAGGTATAAAAAAAATTGGACTTATAATTGGGGTCAATAAAGCCTGACGTTATTTTAGCATGTGTAAAATATTAATAAAAAAGAAGAAAAAGTAGAGAAAGCAGCATTTAAAAGAAAAATGTGACGACTTTTAATAGTAGGTAGCTATTTTGTATAATTAAATGAAACGAATTTAAATTATAATTAAGCAGAAAAAAAAAACCTTTTTAAAACTAAAAGCAGATTTCTTTTGATATATGCAAATAAAAAATTTTAATTAATTTTGCTTTAAATTAAATTTTGCGGTACATAATTTGTAATTTTCCCATTTAATGTGTACTTTATTGATTTTAGAGATGCTATTTCGAGGGAAATTGAACAGGGGCAAGGATTGAAAGTGAACAGAAACGTCTTTTAAGACGCCATATAAAGTTAGCTTAACGGATTTTCATTCATCTCATGATAAAATGTTTGAGCCCTAAAAGCAAAAAACTCCAAAGCTTTTAGGAACAAATGCTGGATGTAAAACTGGCCAATGAGGGATTTTCAAAAATCCAGAAAACGTTGCAAAAAATATACTGAAACGATTTTTCAGTTTCAGTATATTTCAATTTTCAACCATAGCGTATTTTAATTAATGATAACTGAACATTAAATTTTTTCAACAGTAACAGCAAAAATTGGTCTACACATAGGCAGGCCAGGTAGTTTGCTTTTGCCTACATTTATGCAAAGTAATGTGGCAAAAATATGCGTGTGTTAAATTTATTTTGCATACTTTTAGTATAAATAAATTGCGAAATCAGTGTAGTTCAGTATTGCACATTTTTATTATTAAAATATGGCGTTTGCTTTAATAAAATCTTAAATAAAAAACTTTTAATATGAATGTAAAATTATCATACATTTTGTTTAGAATTTAATCAACAGATTTTAACTACATAGATTCTAAACAAAATTTTGATGAATAATCCGAAGAAATATTGATTATTTATCAGTTTTGTTAAATTAAATTACTCTAAGTATAAATTTATGTTTTAAAATTTGGTTTACACATATTAAATAAGCGATTCGATCTCTTACAAGAAAATAATTTTTGAACATTAATTACAATTAACCAACTCATAATTGTACAAATTAAAAAAAAAATATGAAAGTAGACGCAACACATACTCAGAAACGAAGGTGGCTTAAACAATCTTATATTCTTAAATTTACTGTATATTTACAAACACATAAATACTTTACATTTAGCCTGTCTATCATGTATGAACAATTGAGTTTCCTTTCCTTCCTCTTCTGTAACACTTAATAATATATATATTTTTTTTTTATAAGGATCATGGCATCCTACAACTACAATATACTTTTTGACTCCAGCATTTACGCGCTTATTTTATGCAAATACCATAATACGCTACTAGCGCCACTTACTCGTTAAGCGGTAAAGTAGAAAAGAAAACCTACAAACGTCAAAACGTTATCAAATCGATATATACGCCACCACTTTAAAATAGGAAAATATTTGAAGCTTTTTAAGTATAGATGTGGTCTGGTTTTCTGAATCTGCCAAAAATTAAAATTAGTTCTACATTAAAAAAATTGAATACACAAATTTTATCAAAATATAACATGGAAAGTTACGCATTTCTATTTGTAACATAATGAAAAGTAACATGTAGTTTGATTAGTAAGATTACACGTTTCAAAAAATTAATGTTAACCAAATATATTAATAAAATTTCAACTTGCAACAATATTTAAAGCCTTTTTTACAAGTCGCAAAACAAAAATTCTTTAATGCAAATAGTGGATCGTTTATACTTTTTCTACTAGCTTCTACTATTAGATATGTAGACATGGTACCTGTATTTTCTTTAAGAAGGACGCTCAAAAAATAAAAATTTATTATTAGTATGTAAGTTAAAATTTTACCAATAATGTGTCAAAAGAAAAATACTGAAATTTAAAACAAAAAATTAGAAAATTTCTGACGTTTTGTATACAAATTACCAATTTAGCTACATTGCGTGTTATTATAGGTCGTAAGCAATATTATAGGTCATGATAAATTCTTATTTTGGTGAACACTATTATTCAATTTTCTAAGCAACAAATTCCCAAAATAAATTCAATTTAAACAAGATAAACAAAACATAATTATCTACAATGTACTATGAGCACCAAATATTCTTCAAGTGTTTAAAATTTAAACTAAATTCAAAACTGTATATCTCTTTCACACCAATTCTTAAACCGTAACTGCTGTCATTTGAAATGTCAAGTTTAACCTCATCATTTTATTCATCACGCATCATCACGGTATAAACTTAGAGCTAAACAGAAAAATAAAGTTAATATTTTTTTTTAATTTTAATAATACATACATATATAAAATTTATATACAATATAATCGTAAAAATTTTTTGGAATATTTTTATTAAATAAATAAACGCAGTAGTGATGTTAATAATATATATATTAAAAAAATTAGTTATACATAGTTGTTGAATTCAATTTTAAATGCTCAAAATCGGAATATTTATCCTTGGGAGAGAAAAAGGATTAAAACTAGTTTTAAGAAAAGGCAAAAAGAAGACAACAGAACAAAAACGCTAAAAATATTCTTAGCATTAAATGATTGCCTGCCTGCCTTCCTGCCGAAAAGAATTACAATAAAAATAAAAAGTACACAATTGTTTTTTGTACAGTGGACTTCCTTTGTTTTAAATTATGTAAAAATACAAAATTGTTATTGAGGTTTTTGAAAAAAGATTCCAAATTATATATATATATATACATATTACAAAAGTAAAATAACTATAAACAAAAAGCTTCAAAGAACAGTCAAGGTCTTAAAACAAAAAGACAACAAAAAAAAAAACAAAAAGTAAAGAAATAAATCAAACTTCTCGTTTCCCAACAAAAATTTTTAATAGAAATCTTTTTTTCCTCAATAATAATAATAATAAGCAGTCGGAGAAATGAATTTGAATAACGATATAAGCATCGGTTTTATTAATAATAATAGCAATAGCAGCAGCATTGGAAGCACAAATAGTAGTAGCTGTAATAGTAGTAGTTATTGTATTGAAAATAATAGCAATTCTGAAAACGTTATTCAAACAACTGTAAATAATGATAAAAAAAATTTTAATCATATCAATAATGTTATTGTTACTGGCGGAGGAATTATAAATTCAACAAATGGAATTATAAATTCACAACAGAATCTTATTAATTTTGGTAATTTAATGGGAAAAAATATTATAATAAATAATTCACAACAAAATGGTATATTTACATCATCAACAACAAATAATAATAATGGAAAAAATGAAAATCAAAATTTTAATTTACAACAAAAAGTCATCGATTCAACACAAAAGATGCCTCAGATAGTGTAAGTATAAAAATAAAACAAAAACAAAAATCATATATTAAATATTTATTCATTACTATTGTATTAGTATGTATGTTATTTAAATTGGAATATGGTATTAATTTATAAATACGGTTTTTTTATTATATACAACATATATTATGTACATATATGTATGTATATATAAATGGGTAGCTAGTATACCTACTTGGTTAAAGAATTAAATACCGTTTCATTTTTTACTTTCATGTTAAATTATTTAATGTTACCCCTGATCAATAAAATAAATTGCAGCATCCATTTTTATTGAGTAGGAAATTTTATTTTATTAGCCTTATCTAGTGAAAAAATAATTTGAAATTGAAATTGTATTGAAAATTCTATTTTTACCTGCAAAAAATGTCTTTATTTTTTTATATTCATACATACATATATACACTTATTTATATATATATATATATATATATATATATATATGTATTTACGGATTTCATGACAAAAAGTATATCAACAGGTAAAAAAAAATCGGTTTCGTTATTTTTCATTTTTATTGTTTCCTTGTTTTTTTTACATTCTTTTCTTAATTCTGGAAACCCACCGGCGTTCTGGACTAAATGAAAAGAAAAAATATAAAATTACAATAATAACAAAAATAATGTAAATGAAAGCGACAGCTGCTGCTGCGCATTATTGTATGACTTTAAAGTTATGATTATCGCAAAATTTTTGTTTATTAAAATTTTTAGTGTTTTAGATTGAATTATGGTCCCACATATGTGTATGTGGGTACTCTAGATATGCATACTAACATATATATATATATATATATATATATGAAGCCTACATTATGTATAGAAATGTAATGAATATGAATATTGTACATAATATTTTTTGTATTACAAATCCCGTATATTATTTGAGTGACTCTATTTTTTATTAGGGTGTAGATTGGTGTAGATAAATTTATTTAGAAAAATTCCGATTCTGACCCTACTCAAATGGTTTTTTTTTTCTTTTTTTTTTTATAACCATATTTATTTCTTATGAGAAATTAAAAATTACTTATAAGAAATTTTATATTTTTAATTAGTATTTGTGTTCATATAATTTCTATTTTATCGAATATTGATGTTAAATTATGCGATAAACACCATAATATTTCTATATACATAATATGTATATATGAAAGTACATATATATATGATATACATATAATTACTAATTGATATGTGTGCATGTTTACAATTATAAAACTTTATCTTGCAAATGTACGCGCTTTGTTTATTGCGTTGATCATAACTCTATATTATACAGGGAATATTATACAGAGATACTCAGGGTACGTCTACCCCGATTGTTAATTGTTATAAATTATATTTAACTCATATTATGTTTGCAATTTAAGTTAAATATTCAAAATAATATGAAATATGTATGGGTAAAATTTAATACCAATCAGCCAATTCCACTTATTTTGTTATTCACTTTAAGATAATAAATTAAAAATTTTGGATTTGGATAGATAAAAATTTGGATAAGTTAAAGAATAAGTCACCTACATAATTAATAAAATCTTATTGGAAAATCCAACAAATAAAAAATTTATTATTTGCAACTTGTGGCACATTTTTGATTAAATTGAAATCCTTCTTTAAATCTATTTTAAAATATGTAAAATTTTACATAGATAAAATCTTGCTTGTAACATTCAACTTAGTGTTTAAACAGGAATTGTAACCGTATACATAATTTAATAGAAAATTATTTTATAAAATTAATATTAACATCAACTTTTCATTTCACCTACTTTTAGCACTACACAACAACAACCAAAACCATTATCAGCCAATAACTTTAATTTTTTGATTAATGAAAATTCAAAAAATAATTATGAATTTTTAAGTATTCAGCCACCGCGTCCCTATAGAAGAAAATTTTCATGTGTTCATGAGAATAAAGTGGATTGTACACCAGAATGCGATCAAGATGCCGGTTTAAAAAGAGATAAAAAAAATGGTAAAATTAAATACAATCTAAGATTTTAAAATTAAATATTAATATAATTATTATGTATGTACCTATATTGTACACAAAATTATAAATATAAATGTTTAATGCTTCCCTATTTATAAATTTAATTGAATTTAATCTTCACGTTTAGAATATGCACGTCAACAAATGCGAAAATATCGTGAAAAGATTAAATCAGATCCAGTTCGTTATATGAAATATTTACAAACTGAACGTGAACGTAATGCTAAAAGAAAATTTCGGAAAATGGAAAAATTAATGAAAGAGGATGGTGTTACAAATCCTGAAGAAATTTTAAAATTAGAAAAACGTGAAAAAAATCGACAATATAGAGAAAAATGTAGAATGGGTTTACCATTTCCAAAATTTCGAACATCGACACAACAAAGACTGCTTAAAGCTTTAATACAAAAAGTTCAAAATGGTGATTACAGTAAGTTTAATTGAAATAATTTTCTTTCAAAAGATTTTTGAGACGATAATATTTAAATTCACAATTCAATATTTAATAGAACTTCCAGAAAATTATACATTACCTGATGTTATGTTACAACAATTACAAAATATTAAAACTGAAGAAACGTCTTGTAAAGAAGAAACATTAAGTGACACAGAAAATTTAATTGAACAAGATGATGGAATAACTGATTCAGAAGAAAATAGTCAAGATTTTATGGATTGTAGTGATGATGATTCAAGATCTGATGATGGTTTTGTAAGTTTTATATTTCAATTACATTTTCAAAAATTAAATTTAGAATGTAATTATCTTGTTATATACATACATATGTATATTTTTTCTGTACGTAAAAACTAATTGTAATATTTTTTTTTTATCAGATTTCTCCAACATACAATCGAATTTGTGCTGTGGTAAATTGTCCTTCACGATTTTGTAATGATGATGTCGAATATTTTCCGTAAGAAAATTTTTAATTTTTGTTTATAAAAGATGAAATTTTTTTTTATAAAAATTCTCATACCATTTTAGTCTACCATCAAAAAAATCTATACGCGATCTTTGGATAAGACAAATAAAAGTTAATTGTAAACAATGGGAAGTGAATCCAAATGCATTTATTTGTTCCTTACATTTTTCATCGACCTGGTTTGAATCAAGTAAATATACTGAAAGAGATTTTTTATTAAAAGCTGTACCAACAATATTTCCAAATGCAAGTGCCAGTCAATTTGATTTAGAAATACCAGAATTAGATGAAAAAGATTTTGAATCAATGAAATGTTCAAAAAATTTTTATAAATGGAGTAAAGATAAAATGAGAGAACAAGAAAATTTATTAAAACATCAGCATTCATTATTAGAAAATCAAAGTGAAATGAATTTTTTACAAAAATTAAAAATCTCAAAAATAATAAATGAAATCAACGAATTCAAATCAAAGTATTTATTCGCTGAAGATGTTAAAAAAGACTTAGACAATATTTTTGATCAAATACGTGGAATTTCTATGAATTTTCCAAATTGATTTTTTTTTTTTTAAATTTTTTATTACAAAGAATATAAAACATTTGATTGTATTAAAATTGTATTTTCTTTTTTTTCATTTTCAATAATTGATTATTATTGAAAATCAATCACTAATTTGATACCATAACAATAATAAGGCTTAATATTAAATTGTCAACTACAATTTTCATTTTTTCTTTTACAAATTTTTGAAACTTTCCATATATTTTTCGTTATTAATAATTAGTAATTATTAAAGAATTCAAACAAAAATTATTACGTATTATAAAATGTTAAGAACGCTTTTTTTTCTGTTGTATTATAAAAATATTAGTATATAGTAAAAACATATATTATATTATATTAAAAATATATGTAATTAATATTAGCTTTTTCGTTTTTTTTTATAGAGTTACTCGAAAAAATTTATAATTTTTTTTATTGTAAGTTATTAATATTTTTATACATTATAGACATAATAAATAAAAAAAATGGAATAATCGATAAATACAAAAAATATTTTCATATATGAATATTGCAATGTAAAAAATTTTATTCAGTTTTTATAAAGAAGAAAATCATTGAATGAATTAAGAAAAAAACTATGGAAAATAATAAAAAACGGAATGAAATATTAAAAACAAAAAAAAGGTAGTTTTGTTATTTTTCTTTGAATTTGAAGGCCGAAAATTTTGATATGACACCTGGCCAGTTAAGCGATATGAAATTATCCTGGGTCTTGTTACACCAACAATTTTTTACATTTTCCTTAATCAACTTATAAAAATTTTGAAAAATTTTCTGCTGTACTTACAGTCAAAATAGTAGTGTACCTTAATAATGAAAAAAGTACTTTTTTAAAATCTTAAAAAGTAAAAGTAAATGGGGTGCAATAGGACATTATAACTATAGGCAACTTTTTAAAACCAGTTTTAGTTGCAACTATCCACACACTAATATCCAAAAATAATACAATAACTTATAGAACTTACCAAAATTATAAATTAACTTTTGTTTATTGTTAGTTCTCGTCTGAAAATATTGAATTGTAATTTACAAACATGCATACGTATAAGTATTTTAATAGTTTTAAAGATTTTATTTAATTAATTTTTAAATCATTTGTTTTCTACACATTTCTTATTGGCTTAATAATTACAAATTCAAATTTAAAAGATTTCTTAATGTTCATAGCCATCTGGTAGAGCATTAACATGTGGATTATGGAAAAAGGATTTTTGTCCTTCGCCCCATGGGAAACGTTTGGTACGAATACGTAAATGATCATATTTTTTAAATTCTGGTCTTGGGTGACCATGTTCCTTTTGATGTTCCAAATATGTATTCAACATGCATAATCCTACAGATGGAAGGGCAACAAAGAAACTTAATCTTTTCCAGAGTTTGTAACCACCTAAAATTTTATATGAAGAATTTTTTAGTGAATAATTTATCAGTTTATAATTAGTAAAAATTTCTGATAAAATGTTGGATCATTAATTTTATATGTATGATTTTTCAACATACATATATTACAAAATTGAGCTAATTATAAGCAATTGAGGTCCTAAATTAATATCAGAACGTAAGCTCCATATACTAAAAAAAAACTTTTTTTTTAAATTAAATAAAATTGCGTGGCCATTATCTTTATCAGTTTCTTTAAATCAATGTATATAAGTATCTTCTAAAAAGTGTTTTCGAAAAAAAAAAAATTGAGAACCTTTTGCTATTACATAAGTTTCCAATAACCATTAAGTTTTTTGCTTACCAGCATGATCACCAGCTACGGCTGAAGGTCCGGCTGCAGAAGCTCTCAATGATGTAGAAATATTACGAAGTGTAACAGCTTGAAGTAAAGATGCCATAATTTTGGAGATTAAATTGCTGTTGAAAATTTTTCTGTCCACTTGGAATGGTATCGTATCGATGAACAACGACAGTACGAAAAATATTAAAATCAAAATAAATGTCACTCAAATGTCATAGAATGACTGATAATATGCTGTTTTCAATAATTTCAAACTTAACACATACAGCGCCACAAAACTTCCTGCGATTAATATTTTCAACAAAAGCAATATGGAAATGCCAGGTGTAAATATAATTTCGTGAGAAAAATTTCAAATTAATTTTGTTTGATTTTATAAGCTATAAGCTTTATGTACAAATTAAATTAAATGTAGAGCTTTTTAAGCTTTGCAGTTCTAACCTTAAGAATTGCATTTTCAAAAATACCCATTTTACCATTATTTCCGGGTACTGGCAGGCGTTATGTTGATATCAACGTCGAATGGAACTATGTAATGTCTGTTTTAAAACAAATAAACAAATCTACAAACTAGATTCATTTGAAAGGTATAGCATTATGTAGCTTTGACTAAAAGGCAAATTACGTTACAATCGTCAAAACTTATTTGTAAAGGCTTTGTCATTCTATTCCATTGAAAAGTAAACTTTCTGAAATAAATAAATCTGAATATTTAATTAAACAAAATTATGTCTTCTTTTACAACAAAACTTTTTATTAATTTTGTTAAATTTTTTAAACATATTAATAACACCATTTTGCCATTTATCTGATTTCGTTTCATTTGCCTTTTTTAGGACATAAAAATAACAAGCTTCCTGAATTAATCATACTCTCTGAAAATTTTTTAAAATTTAAATTGGATTCTTCAATTATTTACAATATCTGAACAAAATAGGTTAAAAGCCAAATTTTTTTATGAGGAATACTTGAATTAAAATCATTTTTTTATTTTTATCAATAATAATGGATCAAATATTAAACAGAACATTTACCAGACATTAATTTGATTTTAGTAACTAACATAGAATTTTTTTTTTCACATATAGGAGTTTTCTTTTTACAAAATTTTATTAATATGCTATAAATGTATAATAAAATTTAATTAATATTTAATTTTTAATTTGTATTCCAATTTCTATAAAGCTTAATTTTTATTTAGTATTTTTCTTAATTTTCTTTAAGTAGTTTTTGAGGGCTCGTTGGTGAAGATGATGGTGTATTCCTTGAGCTTGGTCTTTCAATGGTCATATTCTGTTGCGGGATTGTTGCATCCGTTGATATACCAAGCGATGAATATATTTCTTTGACAATGAACAAAATTGTATCCTCAGAATCCCTAATAATATCAAAAACTGTAATAGTCTTTTATTATTTAAATAATGATTAAAGAATTACCAATAACAAACATGACTTGTTAAAGCAAATAAATATTCATTAAAAAACTCTAAAGGTGCCTCCTGCAAAACGTAATCAATACGCTTTGTATCATTTAATTTTCCTATTGTCATATTTAACTCATTTAAATCTTCCAAAGACTGTAAATCTGAACTAGAAGATGATGCCGTTCGAATTGGTTGATCCATTTTTAATTGACTGTCTAAAACTTTATCAACTTCTTTTTCCATTTCTTGTTGATCTTCCACTTTATTTTTTGATGATAAGAAAAATACAGTTTCCATTGTACCCTTAAATATTTCTGCAATTCTTTGTTTAACTTCAGTACCAACACGTGTCATGGTTTCCTTTAATTCTAAATGCATTCGTTTACGTCCTTTATGATGCGGTATAAGTACTGGTCTAATTGAACTAAATTCTGGGTTAATTAATGCCTCAATACGATAAGCAATTGGATCATATGGATGAAAAATGTTATAAAATCCGGGACATGTAGGCAATTTGAAATCCATTCCCAATTTTGCAATACCTCGAATTGTTGTAAATAAGCCTAACATAAAAGGATTATTAATAAACATACTCTTAAAGTTTGTAAATATATTTTTTTTAATATACCAATAGGTGATCCCAAAGCAAAGAATTTTTTTGGTCCAAATAAAAGTTGTGGGTAATCTATTTTAGGCTGACCAGCTCCACTTGAACCAAAAGTATAATTTACCTGCTGGGAATGTGCCGGATTTGGAATCTTTTGTGTTTCTAAATATTGATCTAACGTTTCCTATTTATAAAAATTGATGAGTAAAATTTATTGCATTTAAAAAAGTTGTATTAGAAAAATTACCGAATTTGTTTCATTATCTTCAACTGGCTTTTGATTGCATAATATATCAAATAAAATTAATGAACCTAAACTGTGGCCAGCTAGTGATACTTGTCCACTAAAATTCGTATTTCGCTGACAGAATTTCAAATAAACTCTATTCATACAATTAGCTACTGTGTTAATGATGTATTGACAAAATATGGGGCTGGTGTAAAACAGAGCATCAACTACAGTATCGTTATTAAAATTACGTAATTTTGGAATAGATTCTAAAGTTATAGCTTTTAGTTGCTCGTCTATTCCACTTTCAGCTGAATGTAATTCATGATGCCATGACACGGGCAATACTTCAATTCGTCCAACATCACCATTATCTACTGAATTTTTATAATGTGCTTGAACAAGTTGATATGCGATACTTCGAAATTCTTCAACTACAAGTTGTGTATAAAACATAAGTAGTTTGCTGTACAAATATTGTTAATTTATAAATTGATTTTCTTACCAACTTCTTCTACTGATCTAAACTTCAAATCACATGACGACCCAATACCATGTACCATAAATAACAAATGATCTACTTTATCGGTCTCTCCAGCTTCTATCACAAAATCATCTAAATCTCTTTTTACTACTCGGGGTTTAATTGTAGCTTGCTGTACACAAACAGAAAAAAAAACAAATAATTTTTAAAAATTATTACAAATTTTATAAACTTACAGTAGCTCCACCCCATGCATCACTTGTTTGTGATTGTAAAAAATGTACTAAAACTGTAGGAGCATGAAACACTACAGTTTCACCGTTACCTAAAGCGACTTTTTTACGCCATTCTCCAGAATTAGAGGCTTCTCTATATTCAGATTCTAAAAAGTCTGCTATTTGTTCTTCATAAGGTACATATTTAGAATCAACTGATTTAAAGAACCACGAACAACGTCTTACTTCCGTTGGTCCACCTCTCCAATAAATTGGTTCACGTGTTCTTTCATTGATATTAACATCATATCTACCACCCTCCACTTGTACAATGTTATTGCCTACAAAATTAAATTTTAATTATACAAAAACCTTTATAAATTTAATATAATGCAAATATAGGCATACCTTTTTTGAGAAAACTTTCTTCTAATGCATCTGAATCTTTATGTGTAAATGGTATCCAAAATTGTTTATTCTGTTCAATTTTTTTATAAAACCAATGCTTTTTCGCTGGTGTATAAACCTGAATCATTTATATAAATTAAAATTGGAAACATGATTTTATTTGTTTTATAAAAATTATTCAATCTTTTCATTTTATCTATTTGTGAGCTTCACTTACCACATTACATGGAACAACTGCATTTGTTGCATTTGAAGTAGACATTTTGTTGTATTCTAAAATTAGTTCTTCTGGTATTTCATTCTGAAATAAATTTAATAGTTATAATATTTTGAAAATAAGATTCATAAGATTTGGAAAAATTAAGTATACAGGTTTAGTTAGATGTTAAGAAAGATTATTGAAATTTTAAGGGTGTTTAAAAACTGTAATATGGTAAGAATTAATTATATTGGAGATATTCGAATATAAAAATTCTGGGATTTTGGTGAACCATATATGAATAATAAATTAAAATTACAACCGAATCAGAGGCAAGATTATTGCATGTTATAATAATAAATAAAAATGATTATAACTTACCAAATAAGGATCATTTAAATTGTTGGTAAACCCAATATTTTGTTGACTTAGATTTTGTGAAGAGTTATTAATATAATCACTTGAAAATTCTGAACAAGCTGATGAAGGTGGCTCAACAATATTTGATAGTGGTGTTGCACTTCTATTATCACTATATTTACCAGGTGTTAAATTGAAATCAGAATTGCTAAATTGCTTAGATTTTATTCCACCACAACCGTATAAATTTTTAAAATTTAATTCGTTCACAGAATTATTATTTAAATTCTGCGGTGGTGGATTATTGAAAAAATTTTGAAGTTTCTGTTCTTCTTCGTTTAATAATTGCCCGGTAGCTGCAGTTGTATTTGTTGATTGATTTATTTGTGCAGATGAATTATTGTTATTGTTAAATTGATCAAAGAAAGAAATGCTAGAAACTGATTCCAGTTGTTGTTGTTGTTGACTTTGTTGTTTCTGATTATTAAAAAATATTTCGTCTTGATTTTTTTGATTACTCAAAATTTGTTGTTGTTTTTGTTGATCGAAAAAATTTAAAAATGAATTTTGTTCTTGCTGACCCTTTATGGGAGAAATTTTTTGTGAAACATTCAAATTTAAATTTTTGTCAACAGATGTAATGTCACTGATCGCTTGCTGTTGTTTAATTTCAGTATCAGATTTAATAGATGGTGTTGTGTGAGATTGAGGCAATTGAAAATTCTGTTGTACAGGAGCAGAAATTGAATTCGAATTAAAAAAATCGGTTAATTTTGGGGTAGATGATGTTGAAGGAGGCCCTTGTATAAAAGTTTGTTGTATAGCACTATTTTGAATATTAGTTTGATTTTGCTGATTATATTGAATTTCTTGAACTTTTTCTGTTTCTAATTTATGTACTTCTTCTAAGTCTTTTTTCGGTTGCTGCTGTCCAAAATAATTTGCTAAATTTGTTTGTTTAAATTGTTGATTATTTTCGTCCTGATTGCTTTCCTTTAACTCAGGTGGAATTGCTGTTTGTGCTTTAGGTTGCTGGACCTCAGTTAAAAATTCTCCAACACAACTTGATGTTCCTTGAGGAAGCGTTTCCTTAGTTATTTTCAAAATTTTAACCTTTTCGCTAGATGTTTCAGGATCAGATGCTTCAATATTTATATTATTGTTAATTGGTGGTGGCAAATATTTAAATACTGGGCCTTCAGGAGGTAAAACTGAGGAAAAATCAAATTGATCAGGAAATTCTTCTTCTGGTTCAATCGTTCCTTCTATAATATGCGAATGGTCTGTGTTTTCTTGTTGAGGTATTTCATTAAGTCCTTCTTGAGCTGCGTCAATTACTTGTTGAGCCCACTGATGGCTTGGAACCGGATTATAGAAAGCTGCTATTGATGCACCAGGTCCAATATCAGGTTGGTTGTTAACAAAAGGTAATGGTGCTGGAGGCCTGAATTCTATTGGAGGTGGACAATTATTTTCACTATCTGCTATTAATTTTGGCTTTAAAGAGGGAGGTAAATATCGAAATTTTGTGTTTTCGTCTGGAAGTAAAGTTGAAAAATTAAACTTTTCAGGAAATGGTTCTGAAGAGCCTAAACTTGGTGCTTCTTGCGGTTGGATTGTGTTAAGTATAGAAGTTTCAGTAATGGTTGGATTAGCTTCTTTTATTAATTTTTGAGCCCACTCATCAGATGTAACTGGTTTAAAATAATCAACTGTAGAAGCGTTTTCTGGAACTACCGCTTGAAGTGTTGTATTAACTGTTGATTGTGAAGTTTGGCTCAGGGACAAATTTATTTGATCTGCTTGCGGTTGCAACGAAGTTCCTAATATTTGTGGATTTTGTTCGCCTGGTGTGAAGAAATTAGTTGGTACTACAGGATGTGATTTTGTTGAATCTCTTCTAAAAGGATTTGCTGATTTTGAATGACCAGTTTTGGCAGGTGGTAAAATGGGTGGTGGTGCTACGCTTAATGCTGACTGTTTTTCTTGAATACTGAGCTCAGCGGTCTTTTTTAGCAATGTTTGTTGATCACACGATTTTTCTTCAACTGAAAGGCTATTAAATTGTTTTAGATTATTATTGTCACTTGATCTTATAAATGGGGAATGTGAAGCAGATGATAATGGTGATAAATTGAATGTATTCACTTCTAATTGGCTTTGTTGAGTTGCTAACTGTTGAGGAGCAGAATCAAACAAACCGGGTTGAACAGGAGAGTAAATATTATTCTCAGTTATGTTACTAGTTTTTATTTGAGAATTGAGTGGTTTAAATATATTAGTTGTAATTTCTACTGATTTTGCTACAGTTTCCTGTTTCGGATTATCAAAAACAGATAATGAAGTATTTGGTTCTTGTGCTTTAAAGAAGTCAACGTTTGTTATCGGTCTTTCGCTGGTTGGTTCTTCAATGGGTTGAAAAAATTTACTAGATTGTGGGATTTGTTGTATTTTTGAAACCACAGACTCTTTTTGTTCTTCCTCAATCAGATTTGTAGCGTTTACCGGGATATCGGTAAATTGTTTGTCAAGTAAATGCCCTGGTTTTTGTTGATCTTGTTTAAAAGAAGAAAAGGAGGGCGTCTCTTTTATTGGATTAAATACCTGATTTGGTTGTTGTATATTTTGAAAGGAATAACTTTGAAAACTTTCCGGTGCAGGAATTGGGGGTATGTTTTCGGTGATTTGCGGTCCTTGTGAAATATTATTAAAATTTTCTGGTAATGGTAAATTGGGTACGGTGAATTGTTGCTGTGGCAATTGAGTAGTGAAAGAGGCGTTCACGCCGGATGAACTTGTATTTTCGAACGGACTTTTATACAAGCGAGTTCCTTTTTGTAAACGAAATGAACTGGTATTACTTGCTGTTGGAGGTTTCGTGGGTGGTGGAATAATTGTGTTTATATCTTCTTTTATTGAAGAATTTGAAATAGAAGATTGTATAGGCTCAAAACCAATTTGATGACCAACAATTGGATTGAAAACTTGTGTAGCATTTATTCCACTATTGTTTGAAGAAACTGGTGGTATTATAAATCCTTGGTTAAACTGAGGCTCTTGAATATTTGATTTATTTTGCAGGTCTTGTGTCGTTGAAGGAACGGATTGGTTTAAATCATTTGCAACAGTAGATTTTACAAGACCCGATAAATTTTGTATAACTCCTGAGACTCCCGAAAACAAACCACCAACAGTTGACTTATCACTTTTTGGTGATGCTTGAGTTTGCTGTTGGTACGGATCTGATGTATAATTTCCAAGTGTCAGATTTGATTGAGACGAAGAATCAGTATCGTTTAAAAATGAATTTAAGGGTTGTGCTGTTTGAAATTTTTGTGTTGTATTTGATGTCTCAGATGGGAATGTAGGTAAATTAAAATCTGTACTTGATTGAGAATTATTATCGGTATCTGTTATTGTATGATTCACTGATAGACCTGGTATTTGTGCGTAAATTTTCTTTTTTGAAGACAATCTATATGTATTTCCACCAGCAGTTAATGGTGGTGGTAAAATTGGAGTTTTTTGTTGAATTGTATCGATTGGAGGTGGCGTATAAAGTTTTGGTGGCTCAGATGTTGCTACTGAGCTATAATTTTGAGATTGTTTTAAATATTGATTGTTGAAACCAACACTGCAAAAAGAATTTAATAGAATTTAACTACATATTTCAATCATGAAAGGAAAAATAAAAACAAAATTTAATAGAAAAAAAAGAATAGTTTAGTAAAATATTTTACAAAGAAAAATATTATTTACAGTAATAAATGAAGAGTGTGATTTGAATGTTAAGAGATTGGTTAGTTTTAAAAGATGGCAATACTTTAGTTTGTAAATAATGACTAGGATTTTTTAAAATATTTATTTATATTAAGAATAAATTAAGAATAAATACAAAAAATAAATTTTTAATATTTAGCGCTTTGTTCTTATGCACATTTGACCAAATTTTTGTATAATTTTGTTAAATTTAAAAAGAAAAATTAAAAATTTCAACAAAAAATAAAGGAGATAAAAAAACAAAGTTGCAAAGGAAAAGCCAATTGAACCAATATAGTGTTAGTGAAAGGAAATGTTAACCAGTTTACAAGTGAAGTGAAAATAAAATGAAAATATTTAAAATTAATAAAGAATATAATGTAAAATATTTATACCTTTCAGGATATTGTTCTAATCCTCCTGTTGCTGTTAAGTTTTGATTTAAATTATTATATTGTGATTGATATCCTAATCCACCACTATTATTTATTGTTGTATTTAAATTAGAATTGAAATCAGAACGTTCAGAACTTTGTTCACGACTAACTGTTGTCGAACCAGGTGAATAATTATTAATTACTTTTGAAAATGTTGATAATACTGTTGATGCAACCGATGGTAATTGTGAAAATGATGATGCCGCTTGTGATAATATTGAATCATCAGCTATTTCGTTATTATTAATTGAACGTGGTTCGTGTTGTATTTGCGGAAATGCGTTATTATAATTTAAATCAAATTGTTGTTGCTGTTGTTGTTGTTGTAATAATTGTTCATCATCAGTTGGATTTAAATTAATTTCACTTAATGTATCTGCATCAATGTCCGGTGTTTCACCAACTGTTACAGTACGTTTTATTACTTGAGATGATTCTGATTATGTTAAAAGAAAATGAAAAAGAAACGGTTTAATTTTTTATTTTATTTATCATTGTATAAAAGTGTTTTATGTACATGTATGTGTTTCTTAAATATATTATATAATAATAATATACATATGTATTTGTAATTAACTGTATGTCAGTACCCATACATAGTAGAAAAAATATTATTTTATAAGATTGCCATTAATTTCATACGGCTACCTTACTTATGTACGCGTCTGCACAAAAAAAAAATTGCATTATTAAATTTTTTTTTTTTTTTCAATTTTATTCATTTATTTTTCAATAACAAACAATCACAAGCATACCTACATATGTACATAAATCTGTTCTCATTATTGATACTACAGATGTTTTTAGCCGAAAAAATAAAAATTATAAACTTGTTTAACAGGTTTTACAATAGTATTTTTAGTATACATAAAATTAAACTCACTTTTCATTTTAAAATGAAATCGGAAGTAAAAAATTCATATATAAATGACATTTAACATACAAAAAGTACCGTTATTTAACTTTAGATGTCAAGATTATTTTTTTTTGTAATTTTTTTTTTTATTTTGTTTAAGAGAAGAACAAATTTTAAAAGTTTGCAGCTATAATATTTTTTACTTTTATTTACTTGAATGTTGTAGCGTTATTAGGCTTTTGATTGAAATTAAATTTTAACGCGTTACGTCTGTAGCGATTAATCGATCACAAAAAGGTAAACTGGCTATGCCCACTTTTTTAAAAATTATATGATATTTGAAAAATGTAAAATTAAAACATTTGATATTATAAAATGGCTTGGTAGTTTTAATATTACCACCAATTTCTAAATAAGTGCCTATATAATTTAATTAAAAATTACCAAATATAGAATTTATTGTATTATAATTCTATTGAAATTTTAATAAATTGACCTATTAATGAATATTTTGTCAGATATTAGAGTTTTCATATGAGTTCATTTCTCATATTTTTCAAATATAAGACCTTGAAATTTTTCGATGATTTATATTTTTGTATATATGTATCTTTTAAATCGATAAGTAGGTCAAGTATATTACAAAATTTTACATCTTTTTTTTTTTTTTTAGTTACATAAAATATATAGAATTTATGTAAAAAAGATTCAGAGTGCCATGTACTTTACAAAAAAAAAAAAATAAATAGATAAATAATATCTTAAGGTTGAATAGGTTACTTTAGTTTTTAAAAGTTCATTTACTAAATAATGATTATATTTTTAGTGGTGGGTAGTAATCGAATGAAAATAAAAGATTTTGTAATAATAATGAACTTCACACGTGTACAAATCAAGTTTAATAAGTGTGATCTATTTGAATATGTAAGTAGTAACCAAAAAATCTGTTCTTCAATTCATTTTTTTTCGATATTTTGGCGTTTGATGAACTCTTTGATTTATATATTACTTTAAGTTCTAATTTTGTAAACTATTTAATGTAAATTTATCTCATTTAAGAGATCTCATATTTGAATTAAATGTAAAATAGAAAAAAATTTCTTATTAATTTTAAATTGGCTGTTTCTGTTTGCATGATAAAGAAGAACAAAAAAAAAAAACACAAGAATTAAATATTTTTCTCACGATTTTCAAGAACAGGATATAAAATGAAAAGGTTAAGAGAAATTAGAACGTTCTGGAATTTTATCTGAAATTCAGGTTAAATTTGTTTCTTATTTTTAAACTATGATTTCATGTGCGTCATTTTAGATATTATTAATATTTGCTGTTATTAATTTAGCAAAAAATTACACCTGAATAATGAAAATATACTTTTTGTAAATAATTGTTCAAAATTTTAAGACAATTAAATAATTAGACTATAGATTTATAAAAAAAATAGTTTAAGGAGCTCAAGGGCCTTACTACGTAATTCGATTTTCGTGAAATTTCGTGATTTCCGTATTTGTAAAAATGGAAACGTCGTATCGTACAAATTAATTAGTAAGACTACCTTACCATTTTTCCGAATACGAAAGTCGTTTTACGAAAATCGAATTACATGCGGTAGGGTCCCAGTTTTTCTGAATTTATTTTCAATTCATTCCGATGATAAATGCGGAATTCACATATAAAATTTTAGAATTAAAGAAAATACGTCGATTATCCTTAAAAATTGTTCAATGTAAGAATTGGTCAAGCTAATAGTAAAAATCCAGTGCTAGGAAATAGTATACCGTAAATATTGATCAGAAAATAAACTCAATATAGAAATTCTGATATAATAAATATACAAAAGCGTACGAACCTGATATACAAAAGCGTACGAACCATAAACAAAAACGGATAATTCGCTAAGAATAGCTTCTTCTAATACTTGTTCATTTTGGAAAAATGGTAAGACGAATTTCTGTCAAAATCTCAATCGAAATCAAGATGGTATCTTATGATAATGTTTCTAAAACTTGTATTTTTAATAAGAAAATTAACCTTACAGTTATGACATTAAAAATTACCAAAAATAATTTTTTTTATTATTCTATATATATACATAATATTATGAGAGTGTTGTTCTCAATCTATAAAACTACTTTATCTCTTACAGTATATATATATATAAAATGATTGCTGGACGCAAGATGATTTTCGAAAAAAATAATATTATATTGTGCTCATTTACGAAGCAATGAAATTACTTCAACCTTGTTATTTATAATTTTATGATTTGGTTTTTTTTTCTAATCATAAGTCATCATATTATTTCAATATCAAAATAATAAAATCAATTTTCAAGATTCATATTTCGCACAATTGAACAATACATAAACCATTTTTATTACACCATTAAATTTTCAATTACAAAAAAAAACAAAAATAAAACTAAAAACCAATAAAAAAAAAATCAACAAAATTTACCGACCCTAACTAAAACCACGAATGTTGAAAATATTACTTTTCGAGAAAAATCGATTTTAATATATTTTTTTTGTTTGCCTTTAAATGTTAATATAAAATTGTTATATTAGGTTATTTTTAAAGTCCAAAAGCTGGCTACTGTGAAGAAGTACCAAAATTGCGATTTCGATATATTTTAAGTTCGAAAACTTTATTGTACTCGTAAAACGTATGTTTAACTCGAAAATGACAAAAAAAGCAAATACATGGTTTTTGTAATAGACCCGATGGTAAGTAGCACAATAATTTTAGAGAAGAAAAAAAATTCAAGTAAATGAAAAAATGCGACATTTTCTAAATTGATTTGAATTATTTTGGAAATTGTTATGATGGTCATGGTTATTTTTGGCAACTTCCAAAAAAAATATACACAATATGTATAGGAAAATAATAATAAAAACAAATTTGTTTTTCAAAAATTTAAAAACAAAATTTAAAATTCTAAAGTAGTAGCATAATTCGATGAGTTTAAAATTCAAATAACTTGTCGCCAAAAAATAAATAAAAAATTTTTATTAAAACTAATTCTTAATTTTAAACATGTACTTAATCTAATAAAAATTAAAGATTGATTAATTTTTTTGTTTTTCGATATGAAGTGGTAATCAAAATGGTCAAATAATATTGATTGGAATTTTTGGAAAAAAAAAAAGTTATTAACTTTTATGATAATTTCAACATTGAATAAACAAATTGCAAATTAATAATATTATAAAATCTATTGTAATAAATATAATTCAGTGTTAAGGGTATTAAAGTCTTTATTTGTTTTTTTTTCTCTCTAAATGGTTTGTTTTATTCATTTCCTTAACTAAAATTTAAATCATCACCATAATATTATATACTATTAATAAATGAGGAGTAATGTAATTAAAAAATTTTATTATTAAAACATTGTTAGAATTAATTTTCAAAAAATATGTATAACACAATCATGTACATATGTAAGACGTATGTATAAGTGTTAAATTAATGCTTATTGTGTTTAAATATTTGATAATAACGCACAGCAAAAAGTGACGTCTATGACAATTCAAAATCATACAAACTTATATGTATGAGTGTGAATTGTTAGACTACTTGTTTGAATTTGTTGAAAAATTATGCATTTATGCATTTTAATGAAGGATCTATAAAAAATATATATAACTGTACACAATATGCACATTTATTAAGAGTTGAAAATAAATTTTTAATAAGATTTTAATTTTTAAATATAAATTTTAACAAATTATCATAAAAATTTGCCTATAAATTGTGCAATTTAAATTGTAGTATCAGTAATTGGAACATAATATTTAAAATGTGTTGCAAAATCTGAAAATACTAATAAAATACCAGTGCCCTTATTATACAAACCTCTTACGAGATCGCAATTAATATTAACAATATGTCATGAGCAGAGGAACTTCAATATGAAGAAGAGTATAGAGAATAGAGTAAAAATTATAAAATTTTTTATATCTTACATTTTTTTTTTTTTAACTCAAACATTTTTATTTAAAATAACTAAATGAGTCATATATATATAGGGTGTTCAAGACTCGATATAATTTCCGGATTAGGGTGATAGAATGCCTCCTGACAAACAAAAAACACCTTTGGAGACATTTTACTTTCTGGATTCTCCTTCTTGACTTATGAGAACTCAAAATTGGAATTTCTGAAAATTTTCTAATTTTTACATTTTCATCGGGAAAAATGAGACGTAAAGGCAACTTCATATACAACTGTTTAATAAGTAATTTATAAAGCTTTCGAATTAACATTGTTAAATTCTAAACAACTACATGATATGTTATATAAAATGTAAAAAATTTTTTTTACTACATCTGAGTAAATTGTCTTGACTCATTGCAATTGTGTAAATGTAAGTGATTTTTTTTATGTTAAAAATTTTATTTCTTAAAATAAAACCAGAACTATAAACAATCACTTTGAATGTGGTGTTTATTATTCATAATTCTTTTATATATAATAATAAAAAAAAACCAAAGCTATATTAGATTTAAATTTATGTTTAAGCTCAAATTTTAGTGTTCGCACTTTCTATACAATTATGTAAATGTTAATTAGTTGTAAAT